CATATATTACCTGACCATACAAAACTTTAGTATCTTCCTCGTTTTCAGTGTCATTTATAAGATTGACAGGTGTAGATTGAATCTGTTTATTTGTATTGCTTGTAATGAATGCTAAACCTTCGCTGTTAACATTGTTACTTGCACTACATAGGCTGGAATGATGTCTCTGGTTGCAGTGTCGACACGTTCGTTTCGATTGACACTCATTAGCATGATGATTACTTAAACAATTAAAGCATAAATTATCACGATTTACAATAGACATGCGAGCTTTATGATTACTTACATTGGTACAGTGTGCTGGTGCATGTATCTCTTTACAAAAAAACACATGGTCTTTCAGTAATATTCCGGGGTTGGCTCTTCGCGTTGTGTGATGTGTTTTCTCGCGGTGATTCTGTTCCTGTATGAAATGTACATGTAGATGACGTTGCGAACTGACGGTCTAAAGACACGAGATATGTACCTGTATTTTGTCCTGCCTCCATGATTTGACTTTCATTCAATATGCTCCTTCTCAGATCTTTCAAATTCCAACTGGACGGTCCGTGTTCTCTCGCTAAGTGTTGTCTGATTTCACTGGGTAAGTTTCTCATGATAATCGGTACCAGTAAAGTTCCATATGACGTCTCAGGTTGTCAGAGCGAATCTAAACCTCTTACGTAGGCTTCACATTGGTCATAAAATAGTCTTAAGCTTGACAAGGTGTATCGTGGTTGGGCAATATCTAAAAGTGCCTGTAAGTAGGCTTTCGTAATTCGGTGTGTTTGCCCAAACCGTTCCTTTAGTACATTTATAGCCTCCATATAATTTTCGTTTGTAAGCGCAAATCCTGTAATCGGATTCAATGCCTCGCTTTCAAGTTACGATTTTAGATAATTAGATTTCTCAATGTTTGTCAAATTAGGATTGAAATGTACAGCAGATTCGTACGAGTCCCAAAACGTTTGCCAATCTAAAATGTTGCAATTAAACTTCGGTAGTGATAACTTGGGTAAACGAAGGTTACTAGTACTAGCTATATTTTGTGGAGCAATATGACCTGTATCAGAGCCATTGTAGCTTGTCTGTGGTTGAGCGGCGGATGAAGCATAGAATGGTGTTGCTTTTTGAAAGTTATCAACATTTGCCGGGCGGAAAGGAGGGCTTTCTACATTGAGAACTTGATATGAAGATTCTGTTACATTGGAACTTGGTGTACGGTTATGACTAATTTGAATGAAATTACGAAAATGTCTAAGTTTAGTGTCTAAATTATTTGAATACTCATCTGTATCTACTATTTCACTTTCAACGTTGTCTGAATCCGTTGCTTCCAATATCTGTTCGTTCAGTTTTTCCAACAATGTCTTCTTTTGCGTAAGATTATCGTATGTTGCAAGTAGTTCATCTCTGTCGAAGTCCGTGTTTTCCTTCGCCTCCTCGAATTTTCGGAAAAGTTTCGTCACTGCACTTCTATTTCCATTTCTTATATTCTTTAACTTCTCCATCTTCGATGTAATCCTGGTCACAGCACCATAAATGTCGGGGCTAACTCAACTATCGTTATACAGAAAGAACACAACCATACAGTTTAACGTTTACTTCATATCTATTCGAGCTGCTAAGGCTACGTCCCGCATTCACGTCAACCCTAGATACAATTGGTAAAACGCGACGTCTTACCTCCCGCGGTATTCCCAACAATACCAAACAACCTATAATTGAACATACATTCAGTGAAGAAAAAACCATAATTCTTTTATAGATATAAATATTTAATTTGGAAATTTCGTTATACTTGTAGAAATCTTATAGAAGTTGAGAAATTACATCCTAATGTTTACGGCCATAGTGTTTGTATAGTTTGTTAGTTATATTCAATCCATACAAAGTTGATATTCTTTTGAATAGTCTCATTGTTAAAATTTATAAATTTAACAATGTAGTCAGATCAATGAATAGTGTCTCCATCGGTAATAACATTGATTGTTTTGTTAAAGAGGCATTAGCTGTCAAATTCATGTTGACCGATTCGACTCATATTATCCCATGTTTTAAACCATATCAAAATGCTATTCAAATTACAAAAAGTTCTAAAGAAACAAATTATAATGCATGGACAATATATTTATATCATAATGGACGCCATCAAATAACCACCGTGAAGAACTCCGAAGAATTCCGTAGGTCATATGACCTGATGTAAACAAAAATATAAATTTAATATTAGGACAGCACATGCAATCGTATTATAAGGATTTTTCTAGGTCTGTTTAATTTCAAGTCATAGACTAAAAAAAAATGTTAATCATCGTTTTACCTGTATTTGAACTGTTTATGCGTGTACAGAATCAGTCAACAAACGGCATCTTCCGGGTGGCTGCCTTGTTTAGCTTTTGTTTGCATTCTTTTCTTTTTTAAAACTAAACCTGATTAGCAGATGCGTAGCCCATCCAAGTTAAGGGTTAAATCGAAGTTCGCTTAAATACGGAATCAAATGAGTTGAATTATTGACTTGCAAGGCAATAATACACCATCGATGTCTTTGAGCTTTTTTTGAGAAAATTGAACCAAAACTGACTGCTAATAGCGAACTATTATTTCACAATTCCGCTTTTATAACTGTTTGAAACAAAAACAATCATATCTTGATTTTTTAAAATTAGTAGCTAATGTCCTTATAATATTAACTAATCATGCATTATTATCAATTATTGTCCTTAGTCCTGTCGATGCTTATATTTTGGCATTGGAAATGATTGTCATGCTTTTTCAGACTTTTTATGACAATATTACATTAAACTCATCGGAGGTCAACTGATTGACATTTTAGTTTGAGAAACCGTGGTTTACTTATTATTTGAATTTAGGTTTGAAATAGCTGTCGGTAACTGCAGGTTCTCTTATGTCGGTTTCCTTTAGGTTTTTTTTCCGCGCGTCTGGATAACAAAATTATAAGCCTGGTATCTATGATGAGTTAAACAATTTTTTTATGTTATACTGTCATACCCCTGTCAAATGTAAAAATTAAGATTTGGGCGGTAACAAACATGATAAAATCCGCCACATTCTTTATGTGCTTGTCCTAAGCCAGAAACCTGTGTCCAATGTTTTCGTTGGTTACTGTCTGCCAGATTTGTTGTAGTATATTCAGGCCGTTGGTTTAAACTTAATCAAGAACGCTCAAACCCGAACATTTGAAAGCCAAGGATGTGTGAATACCGAAAGACCGGAGAAAATATCAAACTCCTACAATTTAATAATTCACCTTTTTAATAATTTTCGTCCAGAATTTTCTTATCATGTCCGCCAGACTTCTTCAAGAACACATCTAAATGCTAATTAGAATACCCTCACCCGGCCTCAAACAAAATCTTCCTCGGTTAACCTTTTTCCATATACTGAAAACTTTTGCTTTCGAATCATAAAAAAAAGAGACGGAATATGCCAAAGGAATTTTCAAATTCAAAAGTGAAAGACAAGCTGGCAACGTCATGACAATAAAGACGAAAAGATATTTAATTTAATTTTGATTTAAAACAGTTTTGCTTGATGTTGCCAGGAGAACAGACTGCCTCCAATAATCTTATGTATATGACGTTGTGCGTTAACACTGCTTTCAGTGATCAGCTATAACTTTGCGACTATTTTTTATTGGTTGAAAAATTCGGAATAAACAGTAAAAACTTCAAACCTCGAGTATGACAAATGCTAATACTTGTTAATTAAGATCAGAATCACACAGATTTTACCACCACGGAGTTTTAACCAACAAAATCAAGGAGTTGTTTTTGTAATATTAACGATACCAATTTTTATTGCAACAGATGCACACATCGACAATTAATGTCTCTTCAGTGGTGCTCACGGCCAAAATATTTGACAGTCCAAAACCAAATACGGACGTTGAAGTGCTGACAAAACTCAAAAGGTCCAAAAATGAAGCCAACCCTCGCCAATAAATCATTTTTTATTTGTTTTGTTTTGGAAGTCATTAAGGAAAATAATGTAGAAAAGATTATCCATTTTTTTCCTTTGAGACGAAATTAGAGCACATAAAATTACATTTAAGGAAAGTATCACAGTTAACCCGAAAATAAAATTGAAAAGTGATTACGGGAGAACATGGCATATGTCCTATTTTTAGTAAACTATGGATAAAAAAGATAATAAGAGAAATCATACAAAATGCACAAGTCATCACAGCGTACAATAACGCTCCGTTAAAATATTAAATGTGAAAATCATGAGTGTTTCGAACTTAAGACAGTGTTCATCTAAAATGCCATTAATGGAATACGGATCTCGAGCTCTCTGTTTAACATGCGTTACCAATTGCAATTGCAGATGAAAGCAAATTGATAAACAAATAAAAGGAATAGATAGATAGAAAAAAATAATGTAACAATAACAAAGAAAAATGTTAAAAAAATATATTTCATTTTAAATGGACAAGGAACGAGAACGTACATCGCAAACATTCTTTAAAGTAGCAAAGTATTAATCGCCATCTTTAACGTATATGTTAATTTTTATCACACGAGTCCAGGTACTCTCGTTTCAGATAAAATTTGAAATCTAACTCTGGCAATATAATGTGAGATAAACGTAATGTTCGTAAGCCTGACACATCGCGAAATCAATTGAATAAAATGCCTCCGTTTGTCGGAGTGATGGCATTGGTTTGAGCAGTGCACCGAGATTTGTTTTCCTTACTAGTATTTGAAAACTTCATGTTTCAACATTAGTCCAAGTTATTAGCAGAATTTTAGCATTCTTTCAAAAGTAAAATAATAATGCGATTTTTTGCATTCTATTAAAAAGTAAAATTGACAATATCTTGAAAATTGCATAAATTGCTTAAAAGTTATTTGTGAAATATTTGGCAAAGCAAGTATAATAAAGGGTATTCATTCACTTAAACATATTATATTTCTATTGTGATTGTTTATAGACTGTTACGCATATAGAAAATTAAAGTTCAATAAACATTTTGTAATATTTGTTATTATCTATACTCAGTTATTTTAAATTACTTGATAACACTACATAAACTATTATTTATATCTAGAAGTTAAATGCAATTTAGATTTGGTCTACTTCAAAAGTAAAAGAGGAAAATAATCATGGAGCTTCTACGCCGTATTTTGTACTCTACTCTTCTGAATTCTATATTCAGCGGTAAGTGCTAAGTAGCTGTTGCACCGAAAAATCAATTACCTTTTACTAGTAATTTATAACATAAACAAAAAATATATAAGAAAAAGTAATATCACAAAAATACTGAACTCCGAGGAAAATTCAAAAAGGAAAGTCCCTAATCAAATGGCAAAATCAAAAGCTCAAACACATCAAACGAATGGATAACAACTGTCATATTCCTGACTTGGTACAGGATGAGTATGCGTTAGGGACCGGTCATTATTTATCTTCAGGGGGGGGGGGGGGGGGGGCGACAAAATGTAAATTTGAAATGATAAAAAATGATTGACCTCTCCCCTTTTCAAAATGTGTTAAAAAAATTTAACCCCCACTCTTGCAACTACATAAAAACTTTTGGTCCCCCCTCTTTTTTCTGATTATAATTGAAGGGTTTCAAATGATTCAATTATTATATGTTGCTAATATTCCTAGTAAGGTATTTTAATACACATACACAGAGAATACATTGAGGACAACATACGATAGAAGAATACACTGATGTAACTTCACAGTCTTTAACAAGCCAAATGCCCATTGTTTGAAGAAAGAGTGTCAAGAATTTTTGCCATAAACACAAATGCAATGTACTATAATATCAACAATTAGTTTATATTTAAATATTATCATAAAACAATAAAACCATAATAATCTCAAATCAGCACTTTGATTGCTATTTCAAATCACAAATTTTGTATTTTTTTACTGAAAATACCCTTTTATATAATAAAATTGCTCTATATTAAAAAAAAAAAAAATCACGAGACAGTATATCATATGTGAGAAGTGCAAATCTTATAAAGTTAAACAAAATATTCATTTATTGTGAAGATCCCATCACCAAAATTTTTTTTCCAAAACAATTAAATGAATACAGTATCTTAGACTAAAAGTATTTTCAAAATGTCAAAATTTCCAATATATTATATATAAATCAGATTTTAAAAAGTGGCATATATAGCTCTGTATTCTTCCAATGATATGCATCATCTCGTCAAACTCAAAACTAATTGGAGTTTAAGTTGGCTACTAGTATTTAATAATGATTTTGTCATTTACAGTTTTAAAGAGTAAAATTTTTAACTTTGTTTTGGTATATGAGCATTACTTTTTATTGTATTCATACCCCGGGAGGTTACTTCCTATATTTTTAGTAGTACGAGTGTGCCGCAAAACAGGGTCCCTTTTTCATGCCCTGCAGGATAGAACAGGGTCCCCTTTTTATGTCCTGCTGGTTACAACAGGGTTGCTTTTTCATGCATTGCTGGTGAGAACAGGGTCTTTTTTTAAACAAATTATTTGACTAGAACAGGATGGCTTATTTAACTGTTTAAGATACAGTCTAGAACCCGGGTCTAGAACAGCATCTATTTTATACGGTCTAGAACAAGGTATACATTTTCTGAGCATGTCTAGAACAGAGTATACATTTTCTGAGCGTGTCTAGAACAGGGTATGTTTTTCAATATTTCTGTTTAGAACAGGGTATGGTTTTATATGTTTTCTGTTTAGAACAGGTATGATTTTCAATGTTTTCTGATTAGAACAGGGTATGATTTGGCAAGTGCTGTCGGCACAGTTATACCCGAAAGGATAGTCAGTAACACCCCTGGGATTCATACAGAATGTCAGGATGTCTTTTTTCAAATTAGAGATATTAAAATGAAGCTTTTCCTGGCCTTTAAATAATTTCTTTTATTATAAATGATTCATTTCTACATTGTCGCTCTCCACTCAGACAGAAGACAGAACCAGAGGGTCTTCAACAATGAACAAACCATTCATATATTTATTTATAGTGGAAATCTATATGAGGTATATTCAAGATATGGAATAAAAATAAAAATAAAATGCTTTGAAAATGTCTTTATAGAATATTTTTTTGTACACATAAAACAACAGTTTGTAAAATATATGAGTTCATCTTGAAAAATAAAAATGGTGTCACCTTCAAAAAGCAAAGTCTACTTTTGCTGTGTTGAAGCCAGGATTATGAAACCAATTTTATAGTCTCTATTCCTAGTTTCTTAGTTCTATAACATCATGGCTAAGAAAAACATAAGAAAAGTGATTTGTTTTGCACATTTAGTGGTAATATTCATTAGTCACTTGACAATAAAATTAGTCAAGGAGTAAAGTGACTAGCTCTAGGTAGATCACTGATAGTGACAGTTTCATATTTGTGAAAGAGTCAAACTAGGAGACAAATTAGCTCTGAAGGGCCCAAACAACTATACATGTATAGTCTATGGTCATGGTATATGGCGATAAATGAATCTATGGCCAATAAAATCATGACCCCCCTACTTGATCAACCTGAAAAAGAATGACCCCCTCTATCAGATTCAATTTTTTTCATGACCCCCCCCTACTTTTTTGCTGGCCCCCCTGGAGATAAATAACGACCGGTCCCTAATATAAAACCTTATTTTAATGTCGTACTTTTGTTTTCCTTCTATCGGTCGTGTAAAAATCATTTACTATATTTATTTTAACAGCAGTGTGTCAGAAATTCCACCAGACATATGATTTAATTTTTTTTAGTATATACGCCATATTCATGTAACTTCTTACAGAGGTGTGGTGTAACTTACTCTGAAAAACTTGTGATAGGAAATTCTCTATATATCACATTAATCATGTTAATATTATCTATAGTAAGTCTTGCTCAGCGTTATACTGATTATTGTACTATCTTAGATTGATATTTGTTCTCACTATATAATAAAATTATGTCTGTATATGAGATATGATCCATGTATGTCTAATATGTCGTACATTTAAAATACGCTGTATTTTGAATAAAGTATCATAAATTTAAATATAATGACAAACTCAGTTTCAAATCTAAGACATTATAACATGATTTCATTAAGAAATAAAATCATGTTATTTTCTATTTGAAAAAAAAAGTAGTATAATTTTGATTTCAAAAGTTGCATTGATCGAGTTTTGTATCATGTCCATCAACTATGTTGTTTGCTTAATATCCAGCGGAATACTTCATGCGTATTCAGGACGAAAAGAACTTAAAAAATAAAACAAATAAGTTGGATCTGCAAAATTATGTTGACCGAGACAAAGAGTTGAGTATTCACATTCACTTCTGATCTGTAACTAGTTATTGCATGACTATAATGTAAAAAATAGTTTAAAATTATATCGGGAACAATTCTACCATTTTGTAAGTTGTTCTATTTTTTATGAAACTGTCGCATTATTGGTTGAGGGTAAAGTCAGTTGAAACTAAACACCCAAATAAGGGTCCTGGTAAAATGTGTTTATGTCGAATGGTACTGTTGTATGTGAGGCAAAGACGTTTGAAATGTTAACAGACAAAGGATGGACACTGAGTGATAAAAATTGAGCTGCGATGCGATATTGTTGCAATCATGACAGTTCAATGTTAAAATGAGAATTCACATATCAGACATGTGTAAACAAGATTGTGTGCGTGTTTGTTTGTGTGCACTGATGATTCTTTCCCCATTACTATATCAATACAAAAGAATAACCAAAATAATGAACTCCAAGGCAAATTGAAAAAGGGGAAGTCCATAAAACTAACAAAATCAAAAACTATCAATCAACGGAAAAGTGAAAAAAAACCTGCCATATTCCCTAACATGTGGAACTCAAAAGCTACATAGAATAATATGGCGCTGGATCATGGTTAAAATACTTTTTTTGTATGTAAATAATTCGAATTATGTATAAACAACAATAACAGTTTTGCGCAGAATTCAATATCTGTCAATCTGACATAGATGAAGATTTGATATTTTTCAGTTTTGGAAGTTTATGGTGAATACTGTTACTACGCCCGTTACTCTTATGGTTATGGCTATTACTATGTATGTGATACATCAGCAAGCGGGTATGTAACATTTATTTTTTCTTTGCCTATATAACCCTTTTGATATATTAAATGAAAGTGTTATTCTACAGAAGTTTACTGAATTGTCCTTGTCAATAACATTTATCCGTGGTCGAGATGGAAAATTGTTGAGCAGGTTAATAGTGAATACTGCCATGACTCCATTTGCCGTGTTTATTATTGTGATGACACATCAGGCGGTTGTGAATAATGTTTTTATTATTATTTTGATTTTAAATAAAAAAAAGTTTATCATACAAGAATTTACTAAAGTTCCCCATAATCTTTGAATTAGTAGCATTAATCGTTGTCTGAGTTGCACGATTATAGGGCATGGGGACGGGCGTTTTTCTGAAATGTGTGATCAATGTACATATTTGAACCTCATTTTCTGTACATGTTTTTTTTCATAATGTGAATCCCATGCACTTTTAGGTAGCGCTTCTGATAGAGAGTAACACTATCTTCTGCACATAGTTTCTACGAGACAGTTCTTTTGTTCCTTCGCTTTGGTTATTTTGAGAAAATGATCAGTATAATTTGTTTATATATTTGATTCACATTTTGTTCTTTTATTCATATATGTATTGATATGTATTGATACTCTATATTAACCTTTTCAGTGGTACCATAGCCGGTGCGGTAGTAGGAATTATCATATTTATAGTTATCATTGTTGTTATTATTGCTGTGTGTAAAAACAAAAATAGAACAAGAGTGACAACTATTCACAACACCCCTCACTCTGGCGGAACTACTGTTATCACACAACAGCAACAACAACAACAAGGTAATCTTAATAACAGAGAAGTTATTACTTGGTTTTCGTTAAAATGAAAAAAAAAGGGTTTACTACTGGTTTCGATGCACATTCTTGTCTACAAAAAAAGTTAGAAACATTTGTAGAGATCTTCATGTATGGTTGGTAAGGAAAACATGTTCAGGTTGTTAACATTCGTAATAACTCTAGTATGTAAGCAAAGCCAAAACACAAAACTGAAGGTATAATAGTTTGTTTACGAAAGATAAGATTAATAGTTTCTGTTTGTTTATCATTCTACATATCTTTTTATTTTTTTCTCATCTCGACTATTATTTATTTGTCTCGGCTTCGGGAAATAAATATTTTGTCTCAATTTTAGATAGGGGACGTGTTGCTTGATATTGGGATTTATATTCAGTGTTTTGTGCATTTGAAAAAGTGTATAAATCTTCATTGAATTTTGAAATAACATATTTTTATTTAGTGGCATGATTGACGTCCGCTTTACTTCCAGAGGCAAAGATTACATACATGTTTTGGGCGATTATATAATTATGTTATTGAAAATTGATAACTTTCTCTGTACCGGAGATGCACGCTGGTCATAATTTTTCTTTCATCTGGATCAAGTAAATAAATAACATGCTTGCTGAAATAAAGTTTATTCATAGAAAAACCAAAACACCTACAAATCTTTACTGAAATAATGAAAATGTGAAAATGTAGATGATGTGAAAACTCAATCCCTTTCCAGTGTTTAAGCATCCACTTACAGAGAAAATCTTTTAAAAAAAGTTGTAATGGCCTTTTCTTTCTTAATTTAAGCTTAATTAGCTATGAGACAGCAAGTTTTATAAGGAACGATATAACGTGTGAGTAGTACAAAATCAGTTTACAATGGGTATGACTCAATATTTTTGTCATTTCAGCTCCACCACCAATGATGTATGGTCAGTATCCCCAACCAGGCGGCGTTATGTATAATCAACCACCAGCATATCCTCCACCTCAGGCAAACTATCCACCACCACAAGGAAACTATCCACCGAAATACTAACAGTTTATCAACTATAAGCAAACTATCAACCAAAATACAAACAGTGTTTGAAATTCATACACCACTAGTTCTATATTGTGAATAAACTGATAGTCCTCATATTTTGTTATCTTAGATCCTTAATTTTATTACTTTACTGAGTGAAACATAAATGCCTTGGAAAGAATATATAATAAACGTATTTTGTTCAATAGATAAACTTTTTTCTGTATAAAAACCTGCTGATTTAATAAATTTAAAACAAAAAGTAAAATCATCTTATTTTGATGAAAGCTAAAAGTATCTTTTGATGTATCTATGATGAGTTATTATCATTTTGTTTCCACAATAATGTCCTCTGGAATAAAATTTTGTTTGCAAGATTGTTTTCACAGCTACATGTAAATGTCATTGGAATAAACCTGTCCTAAACAATTTTTAAAAACGCCATTCATGTTCTTATTCTTTTGCTTCACTAGATTTAGCTTTCATTTGTATTGTGTTTGTGTAAATGGATTTAAAAATACAATAAAAAAAAAAAAGGATATGGGGTAAGTATCAATGACACAAAACTAATACATGTTCAGAAAAAAAAGGAAAGAAACAGTGCTTTTATTGGTGTTCTTCATCTCAAAGTGACGGCGAGGCCTTCAACACGGAGCAAAAACTCTCATTTCACTGCAAGTGTAAGACGGCCCCTAGCACCGATTTGAGCGGAATTCTTTGCAAACTGACGATCACGCCACAACGGTGAATGAAGAATATTAATTAGATAAATCTCGCAAAAAAAAATCAAACAATTGCTTTTTTACAACAAAACATCAAAAGCAGAAAAAATAAGCAAAGAGAGTTCAACGATCAAAACAAAGATACATACATCCTCAAAGAAAACTTATAAAAGTTCACGTTGTCTTATATATATATCTTGTATTATAAACAAGTCTGAATTGAATACAACGTTCAAACCTATGATTGCGTTGGATAAAAACCGCAATTTTTAAATAAAACAAATTTCTCGGCCTAATGACAAACGTGCTGCTTAACATATTCCCAACTAGGCTGCTTCATTGAATGGTACAAGCCTTATCCAATGCACTGATATTTTAATTGACAACATATTTATTTGACTGTTGTTGGATATTTTTGTCACTGAAGACCACAAATATATTCTTAATGTCGTATACAATCACTTCATCTTTTCCTCGACTGAGACATCACCACATCCAACTTATCATTGGATGCTTACTCTGCTTTAACTATACTACGAGTGTTCTGTTAATCCAAAAGTACCAGAGACTATGTAATTTTATAAAAATATTATATATAAAATTAGAATTAACAGTAGTTAACAAATGTTTAAATCTTATCAATCCAGTTTGAACAAGGTGAATTTCCAAATCTGTAGCAATCGCATGAACCAAACAGGCGCGTCAACAAATAATACCTCTCTTGCTATCTATGCATTACCCACTATGTAAACCCATACTAGAGAGAGAAGGTACCAAGGTGTCATACTAGTGAAAAGGTGACAATTAGTAAATTTACAGATCACACGACAATTCTGGTATCTAAATATCTAAGACCTCATAACCCTGTTAGAGCTGTTTCAGGGGCAGATCACTGTTAATGAAGTCCGTATAAGGAGAACAGGAACAAGTGTTACGTATAGATTGAGATATGTTATCGCCGCAGATTGGGCAGAGGGTATGTTATAGCAGAAGTCTCTAACCCCATAAACGCAGCTAGTCACCCTGCTCTGGACTTCATGCGATTCCCTCAGTTTTGTTTGATACCTTGATGTGTCTTCTTACTCGATTTATGAGATTTTAACACATCCATAAACTACAATTACCTTACCTTAGAAGTCCTGTAGTACATTATGCACGACACGTTGATTATTAAGAGGGATTTTAGACATAATTTGATGGTGACTTTATCAACCAGAAATGACATAATACATATGTCGTCAACCATAACAATACAAAATGGACCTGATCAGATTACTTCACATGCTTGACAGATCGCATGTGACGAAAGGTGTAAACTTTGCATTCATTACGACATGTCAAGTGATCGGCTCTTTTCGCAAAAAATCTTATGACAAAAATTTATCGTAAGTTATACTGAAATGTTCATTACTTACTATTTTTTCTCGTAAGATTTTTTGGAAATGAGTCAAATATTTTTTGGGAAATGAGTCGAAGATTCTTAGAGGTTGTCATATTTGATTGAGCTAGTACGCCTGCAAGACCAGAAGTCACTTCTAATCTACAGCCACTTTTTTGGGAAAGGACTTGTCCTCAAATACCCGTCAAATTTCACTCACCTAATATATTTTTATCTATCGGCTAATAGCAACATCGTGAAAGTACTGTTGACCTTTTTCTAAGTAATTGTATTCAAGAAAGGTTTTTTTAATATTTAACTTTGGAATCTTCTTAGATATTATCTTATGAATCAGCGATTATTATTTATATAACGTGTAATAGCAAAGTCCGGTCATAGAATTGATACAACAAGAAGTCCTCACTGACGACCAAGTGGTATATATTAATCACTATCCCACTAGTATGGTAGAAACTGTAAAAAAAAGGTATTACATATAATCGGGGACGTCTTTAAACACAAAAATAACACTTTAAATTTCGTGTGTCTAACCCCAAACATTTGAAAGCCAAGAATGTATGAATACTGAAAACAGGAGAAAATATCAAACTCCTTCAAATTAATAATTTACCTTTTTAACAATTTTCGTCCAGGATTTTCCTATCGTGTCCCCCTCCCCCCCAAGACTTCTTCAAGAACACTTTAAATGTTAGTGAGAATATCCTCACCCGGCCCAAAAATATAAACTGTTCATCGGTTTGCCTTTCTCTATACACTTTCGATTTATAAAAAGAGAGACAGAATATACCGAAAGGAATTTCTAAATTCAAAAGTCAAAGACAAACTTACAATTCCAAGACAAATAAAGAGGAAAAAATATTCAATTTAATTCTTAGCTAATACAGTTTTGTTTGGTGTTGCCATGAGAAAAGACTGCTTCCAATAATAATCTAATGTATATGACGTTGTGCATTAACCCTGCTTTCAGTGATCGTGGCTATAACTTTGCGACTATTTTTTTTATTGGTTGATAAAATCGAAGTACACAGAAAAAACTTCCAACCTTGTACAGGACCACTGGTAATCCTTGTTAATTAAGATCGGAATCAGACACATTTTGCCACTACTAAGTTCAAACCAACAACCTTAAAGTTGAAGTGCTAGTGATTACTTCAGATGAACTTCTTAGATAAATGGGCCATCGAGGCATCTCGCATGTACAACAAAATGTCACACAATTCAGAGAAAACCAAACGTTGAATATTATTCCAACGATGATGATAAAACTGTTTTTAGAATTCGTGGTCTGAGGCGCTTTTTTTCGATTTACCAGCATTAACTAAGAACGTTCAAACATAAGCATTAGAAAGGAAGAGATCAATAAATACGTAGAAAAGTGAAGAGCTATATGTGAAAAGGAGTTTAAATTAAAGACCAGATTAATCAATGGTTAACTTTTGTATAAAGAACAGAAACACAAAAATATGGAAGACAGCGACCAACGACAAACACTACATTACAGGTCCTGGCTTATGAATATATCAGGAATGAACATGTTTGTGTGAGCTCACCTCACCCAGCGACCAACGACTAACACTAGATTACAGGTTCCAGGCTTGGGAATATATTGGGAATGAACATGTTTGTGTGAGTTCACCTCACCATGCGACCAACGACTAACACTAAATTACAGGTTCCTACCTTGAGAATATATTGGGTATGAACATGTTTGTGTGAGTTCACCTCACCTAGCGACCAACGACAAATACTAGATTACAGGTTCCTGGCTTGGGAATACATTGGGAATGAACATGTTTGTGTGAGTTCACATCACCAGGCGACCAACGACAAACACTAGATTACAGGTTCCTGGCTTTGGAATATATTTGTAATGAACATGTTTGTGTGAGTTCACCTCACCCAGCGACTAACGAAAAACACAAGATTACAGATTCCTGGCTTGGGAACATATTGGGAATGAAAATGTTTGTGTGAGTTCAACTCACCTAGCGACCAACGACTAACACTAGATTACAGGTTCCTGGCTTGGGAAAATATTGGGAATGAACATGTTTGTGTGAGTTCACCTCAACAGGCGACCAACGACAAACACTTGATTACAGGTTCCTGGCTTTAGAATACATTGGGAATGAACATGTTTGTGTGAGTTCACATCACCAGGCGACCAACGACAAACACTAGATTACAGGTTCCTGGCTTTGGAATATATTTGTAATGAACATATTTGTGTGAGTTCACCTCACCCAGCGACTAACGAAAAACACTAGATTACAGGTTCCTGACTCGGGAATATATTGGGAATGAACATGTGTGTGTGTGATTTCGCCTCACCTAGCGACCAACGACAAACACTAGATTACAGGTTCCTGGTTTGGGAATATATTGGAATGAACATGTTTGTGTGAGTTAACCTCACCCAGCGACTAACGACAAACACTAGATTACAGGTTCCTGGCTTGGGAACATATTGGGTATGAACATGTTTGTGTGAGTTCACCTAACCCAGCGACCAACGTCAAACAGTAGAATACAGATTCCTGGCTTGGGAACATATTGGGAATGAACATGTGTGTGTGAGTTCAATTCACCTAGCGACCAACGACAAACATTAGATTACAGGTTCCTGACTTGGGAATATATTGGGAATGAACATGTGTGTGTGAGTTCGCCTCACCTAGCGACCAACGACAAACACTAGATTACAGGTTCCTGGTTTAGGAATATATTGGGAATGACCATGTTTGTGTGAGTTCACATCACCCAGCGACCAACGACAAACACTAGATTACAGGTCCTTGCTTTGAAATATATTGGGAATGAACATGTTTGTGTAAGTCTACCTCACCCAGCGACCAAAGACAAACACTAGATTACAGGTTCCTGGCTTAGGAATATATTGGGAATGAACATGTTCGTGTGAGTTCACCTCACCTAGCGACCAACGACAAACACAAGATTACAGGTTCCTGGCTTGGGAATATATTGGGTATGAACATGTTTGTGTGAGTTCACCTCACCTAGCGACCAACGACAAACACTAGATTACAGGTTCCTAGCTTGGGAATATATTTGGAATGAACATGTTTGTGTGAGTTCACCTCACCCAGCGACCAAAGACAAACACTAGATTACAGGTTCCTGGCTTACGAATATATTGGGAATGGACATGTTTGTGTGAGTTCACGTCACCAGGCGACCAACGACAATCGCTAGATTACAGGTTCCTGGCTTTGGAATATATTGCGAATGAACATAACATGTTTGTGTGAGTTCACCTCACCCAGCGACTAATGACAAACACTAGATTACAGGTTCCTG